CTCCGTGTCCCGCTGCCCTTCCGCAGCGAAACCCTAGCACCGCACCGGCACGCCGGCCCTCGGCAGAGCTCCGAGGTGGCCCCGAGCCAACGCGGGCACAGGCCGCGGGCCCTTCTGCCCATGCGGGACCTCGGCGGGGGACACGCTTTGGCGTCATGCAAAAACCCTCCTTTCCTCCTCAAAAGTGTCCCCGATGGCGGTAGTCGCCCACATCTTCCACAGGTGCCCAGGCCAGGGAGAAAATATCTCCCCTACCGGTGCCACCTCTGCAGCACCAGCCTTGGTGCCCAGATCTTGCGGTGTCCAGAGACACAGCTGGAGCGCCCAGACCACTGCTCACGGCCAACTAGCGCCCGGCCCTAGAGGCCATCACCCTCATCCCGGCATGCACCATGGGCCCTTAAGGACCTGGCCCTCCACTTGATGACTGAAGGTCGCACATGGGCAGTTATCTCATGGCTGAAGAGTCACTTCCCGGCCCGCCAGAGCTCATTTTGAGGAGAACAATCTCAAAGCAGGTGAGAAAGAGGATGGGGAGCAGCCTCGGCCCATCACAGCAGGGATTTGCCCCCCTTTCCCATCATTGCTGTGCTCGGCAAAGGGTCCTGTTGCTGGGGGTTGAGCAGGACCCCCAGACCCCATCAGCAGGGAGATGTCTCAGGAGGAAGCAAAAAAAACAAAAAAAAAGAAGAGACAAGAGATCCCAGCAGGAAGCAGCAAAGCTTGCGAAAAATCCGGATATTAAAAAATAAAATATATAAAAAAGTTACAAGCCCTGCAAGTTTTCTTGCATCTCAGCTGCTAGCAAGAGGCAAGAAGCGCCGCTGCCAGCCGGGAAAAGCAGAAGTGAGGGGCTGGCACGTCACGCGACGGAGACACGGCCGCGCGTGGCTTCCCGGGCAAGGCCTGGGGGCTTCCGAGGAACCGGGGCAGCTCCTGCAATCCGCGGAAAGCGAGGGGAAGCTGCCCGCGAAAACACCCGCACGCGGGACCCCATCAAGAAAAGAGGTCATCTAGAAAGAGGCTACTCAAGGTCAAGTTCTGGCTTTGGTGCCGTGGCTAGAGAAGGGACCACTTGGGCTACGTGAAGGGGCGCTTGAGCGGGGCGATCGGTGGACACCTCCTCCCTGCAATCCGAGGGCACC